CGTAGGAGAATCACTTAGATACGGACATCACAAGACAACCCTTAGTCTCCCACCTACACCAGCATTATATATACTCGCCTTGCCCCAGCAGTCACAATCACACGGTATCCTCAGCTTATAGAACAAAACCTTCCTCTGTGACTTCTCAGGACGGCTTGTTTTACAAAGGAAAAAAATGTCATTCACTCTCTGCTTGTACATCGTCTTCACTGTTTTGGTTAAAGGTAAGCCCTGATTTTTTAAAAATAAATTTAACCCATATTATCCCAAGGTCTCAAATTTTTATAATTTTTTGATATGGTTTAGCTTTTGGGCACTGAATGAAGGAATGACTATGGATTTTTTTTTAAATCAATACTTTTTTAAATATTGATTTTTTAAAAAAACGTCCCATAAATGGGACGCTAGCAACGAACGGCCCCATGTACATTTATTGAAAAATAAAATAATTTATCACGAAATATGGCTATTTACGCAAAAATTAAGCTGTATACTGATTTTGTATTGTTAGACCAATGATTACATTGTTTAGGACAGCTAAAAATACTGATAATGATCAATTGGGTTAGCCATACCATGGTCTAAAATGCAGAAATTATGTTCAAAAGTCTAGTTTTCTTTCAATCTAGCATCCATCAAAGTGAATAACACTTGGAAATAAGTAAAGCTGTGACTAGTACATCTAATTAGACACACATGATCACAAATATTGTTATTATTCATCAAAAACGGTAATATAATTAAATATAAATAATTGATTTTTTGGTGGGCGTACTTGAAATTTTCAGGGGTGGGGACTTAAATTTCAGGGGAAGGGTGGACATTGGTAAAAGTATGTTTTGTATAAAAATTCCATTTTGCTCCCCCACCTCCTCCGAAATGATGCCTAAAAGAAACTCTGCCCTCAGTGAATTTGCAGAAGATGATCCGGTCCAGTCCCAGATGTCATCCAGCCATCTTCTCTTTTGTTACTCTCGCTATCCCCCCTCACAGGCGTACATTAGGACATCAGACATCTTATTTCTAGGGCACGGATCCGTCTCTGGGGGCTTGTATTGAGTGTTCATGGCTCTCACCCATGTATGCACCTCACTATGCGAACGGCTCCCAATCTAACACCAGGTATCTCCTTAAAAAGTTAACAAAGTAAAACTGGTATTGGGAACCTTTGGAGGGGAATATTATTGGGGCAAGACAACTGTACACAGCTAATTCACATTTCTGCTATATGTAGCTTAAGCTCTCTGATATGAAGAGAGTTAACCAACCCCCATGACTGAATCATTTCACCTAAATCGTGGCTATTGTTATTATTCTGGTTTGTTATAATTTTAATATCACGCGCTAGTAAATTTACAGCAATACTAAATTAGTTTGTATTCAATGGTATTAAATACTTCAGTAAGTGTAATTCTGAAAACTTAAAAATAAAATGTAAGTTTTTCAATATTTGCAATTTTTTAATACAATAATATATAAGAAAATATAGATCAAGGTCATAATTAAATATCTATAAATACTACTTAACACGCCAAAGTCAACAGTTAACAAAGTCAACAAATGTTTCACCATAAATAACCATTTAACATAAATATTTGCATCTGTGTTTCTCGCTAGTGTCTAATAAATGTGACTTTTGTGTAACAATCTACATGGGGCCATTCGTTGCTAGCGTCCCACTTATGGGACGCTTGTTGTACACTTGATATAACGAAGTAGTAAAAAAAAATTGTTATTCTTAAATTTTTATCAGATAGAAATATGGTACTGCTACAAGTTTCAAATGTATTTTGCACTTAAAATGTTAATATTTTAGAAGATATGCATTTTCCTGTGCGCATGTTTTCTTTTTTTCGCCATTTTGACAAGTCCTGCAAATCCGGCACTATAACATTTTTCTAAATTATTTTTTTTCACAAAACACACACAAATTCAATAGTCTAGCCATTTTCAAATACAATGAAACATAATTTGTGTTTTAACTAGTTTTCAATAAATTTTAGCAATTTTTTTTACAAGCGTCCCATAAGTGGGACGCTAGCAGAATATGGGTTAATGCGTCGTAATTTTTTTTTAAACTGATTAAACGTGACTTAAGTTTGTGAAATGTACACATTGTAAAAATACAAACTAAAAACAAAATGGGAACCCCAGATGCAAATTTCTATGAATAAGTTTAGGCGTGAAAAAATGGGTTAAATTTGGTTAGTTAACAAATATATTGTCAATTCATTTAGAGGTTTTCACTTTTAATGCAATAAATAAAATATCTTTCAATTTATCGTCTTACTTTCATTGTATTTGAATGTTTCTTATAAAATTAAAATTAAAAAACATAATAGAAAAATTTGTTTTTTTTTAGAACTATCGGCACAGGTTGCTACGAAGCCATTCAAGCGTGTCAACTCACTCTCAATCTATGCCAACCCCACGGGTCCGACCTTCACCTCAAAGTCTCTACTCGCCTGCGCCACGAAAATCTCCAAAGATCTCCCAGACCCGAGATATTTTTTCTACAACTCCACCACCAAATCTTGTAGTGCAGGAGCCACCTCTAGCGGTGTCTTATCCTCGAGTTCCTTCTCGCACGTCTACAGATTTTCTATTGACGAGGCGTTGACAAAATATTTTGAAGAATCGGGCCCATTCTACGTTTATATAGGTCGTGATTTAAATTTCACTGAAGCGGAAAAGAGATGTGTTGGAATTGGATCTCATTTGGCCAGGGCAGACAGTTTGGATAAGTTCATGAACTCAAGCGTGACCAGTTGGAACTGGATTGGTGGGTATGATTTTGATGGAGACGAAGTGTTCCAGTGGATTAATGACAGTTCAACGATTACCAGCCAAACTTTTAACGCACTTAAGTACCCGGACACATCATACGACTATTACAGGACGCCGTTTAAGGGCAACTGTCTAGTGTACTGTGGAGAACACAAACACATTCATATCGCCCCTTGCCAAGAACGATATAGATTCTTGTGTGACATATGGTAAAAGTTCGAAAGTAACAAACTGGAAATCGGTTTAAACTGCGGTCATATAAATATTTATTCAATAGTTTTAAAGCACAATGATTGCAATGCACGCTGCATGTTTTGTTAATTGCGTATCTATTTAGTCTTTTAAAGTGTTCTGACTTGGTCAGTTATTTTTCTGCAATCACTTCCACGGCTCCCTTAGTTTTCCTTGTTTCCTTTTTCCTTTGGGGCGTTCAGTTAAGGGTACTTTTGGTCTGTTTATCTGGCTCATTTACTCCATAGATCTGGGTAGATGAATCGGTCTTATGGATAAACTATCGGTCAGCCTCTGCTCGCACGGCGAGGGCTAAAAAGTGACCACGAGTGAAATTCTCCCCTTATTTGAGATATATATCGGGAAAAAAACTTTTTGCCGAACGACCCCCCCCCCCCTCTTTGATATTTTGTGAGATCGCAGAAAATCGCCTGGGGATGTGTGAAAAAAACTCGCCATCTCTGGGAAAAATCGGAAAAAAAGTCATAACTGACCAGACGTATTTTACTACATAATCATTGTATTTAATGTAAACAAAAAAACGGTAATTTCAACAAAGATTTTAGGGTACTTAACCTCTTAGTGGGGGGGGGGGGAGTGCGACAAAAGTGGACGCGTGTAAACGGGGAGGGGGGGGGGGGATAAAAATCCGAAATTTTTGTGGACGTCATAAATGGTTGACACCTTACCACACCAGTGATCCGCCTTTCTAAACGCACCAGTCTTACCATAAAACTGACATGCCTCTCACAACAGACCAGTCTTACTGTACAAAAGATTAAATCTAGACGTTTGGGTTTGCAATCGAACCCACTATCATTCGATACATGATTCATAATACGCATTGCAAAATGTGACATGTACAGTGTTATTACAAATACAGATTGGTTATATTGTGTTTCTAAACATAATATTAATTAACCTACTGAACAGTATGCGCATATCACTTAAGTAGATCCCTTAGTCTGTTCGTTTAATAACGTCCACAATGCTGTTTTTTAATTATTATTTTGTATGTATCTTTGCAATGCCGGTTATTGATTTTTTTATTTAATATTGTACGTCAGTTACTTACACACACAATTAATTAGTTAAATAGTCCAGATAATGATGATTAAAACAATTTTGCATTTTTCTATCCTACTTTGTGGACTTCTGACTCTAAATTCGCGTGTTAAGATCTATACATACTTAGGACCCATATTTTAGCCAGTCATTTATTTTCTGTTTCTTGGTATCATTATATACATCAGATGTGGAAAAAACAAAACATGGATTAAGTAGCCTATCTGTAAAAAATCCCACACTCTGCTGACAAAAACATCTGTGGACAAGCCCTTATTGGTACAAGCTGAATTAGTTTTAGATATGCATGTATTTTTAATCGAAATGTATTTTTATCATCTAAGCATTTATATTTTTGAAAACCAATTTTTAGTATCAAATAGGACTAAAATCTTAATAAAGTCGAAACTCTTTATGGAAAAAATAAAAACCGATAGAAAGTATGTTCGCTATATTAAATCATCTGTATAAAACTATACTGTAAATGCTAGAACGACCATTTTCTATATAAAATAACACTATAAATATTAGAAAGTTGATTTTCTGTGTAAAAAAGCTATAAATATTAAAAAGTTGATTATCGATGTAATACAAAAAGACTATAAACATTATTTCCACCCTCTCTATGGACCTGTGATTTTTCTGTGTATCATTTCTTCTCCGTCGACTTCTTGTATTTACATTTTATAATAGATAATATAATTGCAAACATTCCAAATAAAAACGTATTGGCAGTCCCTCCCCCCCCTCCCCCAAAAAAGCATATTTGTTATGGATATAGTAGTAATAGGGTAGGATCTTGTAATTACATTTCACCAAGGCTACCATCAGCGCAAACTTTACGATTAAAATAAAAAGTGTCTCATATAATAAAATAAACTGTAAGACAGCACATTTTGTTTTGATGTAACTTTATTTTCAACTTTTCATGCAATAAAACACTCTCGAAATAATTAATGCATAACTATAATTAATTCAAAACATCTTCTATAATGTCCTCGATAAATGATTTATGTTAGGTTTAAAATATTTTAACTTAAATTTCTTAAATTCACATTTTTATTTTACTTTATACTCATTACTTTATGCTGTTGTCGGTCATATTAGTAATTTGTAATTGTGTGTCTTTTTACTCATTTGTTTAACTTTTTTAAAAATTATTCTTACACTTTACGAATTTTCATCTCAGCAAAGGTTAGAGAGTTAGAAATGCCTGTAATGCCTTCCCAAATAATTCCTTTATCAGTAACATGACTCCCCCATTCACCATTGAGGTTAACAGCCCCACAAGAATAAAACCACCAGCCACCTCTCCTGTCTACAGCACAGTTTCCATACCGGTTCCCATCGTTATCAGCGTCAATGGTTGTAAAAAACCTGTTATTGTTGATAAGAAACTTGTCTGGAGCATTTCCATGGTGATTCCCGACGGTCATCTTATATTTTTCTGTTTCATTTCCTACCTTAAAATTACTGTACACAGCGTAGTAGTTATGTCCGTTATACTTCATGTCGAATCTTAGTTGTGTATAACCCTGCGTGTTAAAATAAATAAATACGTTTGAAATTTACGGTAATGATATATGTGTGGATGATTTTTACATGACTACTCAGTACTTTAAAACAAAAATATATGATGTAAGTTACAAGAATAGCATATATACAAGAATGCATGCCAATAATGCTGAAGATACCTTGAAGAACTTTTACATAAAAGAATAATTATTAATTTTATTACTCTGACATTGAACTTACCGTTGGGATTCAATATCATTAATAATATTATATTTTGAAATACAATAAAACCAATCCGTGTTTATAATAAAACTAAGTAGGCCTACATGTCACATATAACTATGCGGTTTAATTGATTTTATGTGACAGTGTGGTTGAACGATGGACATTTCAACCGGTAACTCGAAGGTCTTGAGTTTGGATCCCGGGCTCGAAACTGTAAAACATCCCCTGAAACCTCCCAACTACGATAGGTATCTGACCAACGTTAGGGAATGTTAAGGCGGTCTAATCATAGTGCTTTCCAAAGCAATCACTTTATAGTCTGATGTTACTGAAACAAGTGAGCTCTACTTTACTCGCTCCTTATGTCCGTATAATTTGAAAGGGTGGTTTATGTTCTTATTATGTAAACGATCATACAAATACTACTACAGCGTTCCGAACCCACCATCCTAGTTAGTCTCGAGATCCAATCATTTCCGATCCAAAAGTCACCATCTTGCGATCCAAATCCTTCTTTATATTCGCTCCAGGTTTTGGTGAAGTTAACACCACCTGATATACGTCTCTAAAATAGCATCAATTTACAGTTAGATAATAGCTTTTCAAACTGACAAACATAAATATCAAACAAAATGAAATATATATAAACTAGTCAATCTAATATTTACAGATACAATTTGTAGTATGTTCAATAATTTTTGTGCTCCCACATAGCAATTAGACAAGAGTTTCCTCGGTAGGTCAATCAGAACATTTGGGCTTGTATTTTCAAATTTTAATATTATTCTAAAATTGTTATTACTTTTGTAGCACTGGTTCGTGTAATATGAAATTGTGTGGTTTTTTTATGAAAGTACCGGTCATGTCTTGTTAACAGGTATTATTCGCGTCTTTTTTGAATAGTTGGAGTATTTGCTTGCGAGGGGGCTGATTGGTCTACCGGTATAGAGCTGGACTGCTAACCCGTATGTCTCGAGTTCGAATCCGGCTTCAAGTCAGTAGACCCTCCCTGAGTCAACCCAACTATGATGGGCACCTAACTCATTTTAGACAAAAGTAAAAGCGGCTAGGCATAGTGCTGACCACACTATCTCTCATATGCCGAGGTAACAGATACAAGTGAACTCTACTTCACTTGCCCTAAAGACCGTCAGGTTTGAAAAGGGAACTACTACATTGCTAGCGACTAGTAACAAGCGATAAAAAGTGTTGATAACCAGCATAGGAATGCTGTATATTTCGAGTGGTTAATTCTCTACAATTAGTAAAAAAGTAATAATAAAATGTTAGATAACCTGCATAGGATTTGGCATGTAATCCCCATGTTTAATTAGCATAGAGATGTAGACAAACCTTCTAGTAATTAGTTTTACTTATTAAAAGGAGATATATTCTGCATAATCCTCTAGATATTAAAATCTAGGGAATAATAACTGTTTTGAAGAAGATTTTGTTAGAAGTTTAGAAAAATTCTCGTATTTATTTTAATTAATCAAATAACTCAGTGGTGTTTATGCAAAATTAGGACTTAAGGTATAACTCAGGATTAAGATAGAAATGCAACAAGGCATTTTGTTGTTCTAGAAAGGTAACCGGTGTTTCTAATAAAATATTTAATAAAGCGAAATGAGTAAATATAATTAAAAGAAGTGTGTATTTTTAACAAATCTACATATAGACACACACATACACTGGATGCGAATGAACAGTAAATAAAAATATTTTCACACACCAATCTCATTATAAGACACTATTGTACGATGTTTATGCGAAATAATTTGATTATTGCAGCCCTTTGCTCCCCAGGGCCACAAAGGAATGATGATAAATATGATTATCATAAAAAGAGCGGGTTTAACATAATTTCCAAATTTCGACACAGATTTTAAAAAATATATAAACATTTAAAAGGACGATAATTGTTCTTGGTTTTTAAACCGAAGTCCTGAGTTCGAACCCTTAGCACAGCAGCCCATCTAAAATCAAACAAATATTGCTTAGTAGTCTCTTCTTGGATGGAGTAAGGCTGTTGAATCAAAACCAGAAAAAAACACTCTGAAATCAAACAACTGTTGCCTTGTAGTCTGTTCTTAGATAAACTAAGGCTATTGAATCAAATCTAGAAAGAAAAAAATGCTGCAATTTAAGTCAACTGGTCATATGACACATAACATACTGACAGCTTAGCATTAATTGTGTTTGAGGAAATCCTCTCCAACATTACAATAAACAACGAAGAAGATATAGTCTTTTTATCATCGACAGCCACAACGAGACTTGCTTTCATTATGTACCCCAAGCTAGAGACAATCTTTAAAAGCAAAATCAAAATTTAATTCAAGTGAAAATATTTTCTTGCTCTAAGGAGCAGAAACCTAGATGACAAACCAAAACAACTAAGGAAAAATGTAAGTAATCATAACCAGATGTTTTTGAATATTTCCTCATAGTTTTGTTCACACATAATAAGTAAAAAACATTTGCTTTACTAAGGGAAGTAATTTATTAAAACCTGAATGATGACCCATCCTCCACCGTCAGTTTGTGTATCACACAATGCGTATAGAATATCATTAATCTTTTGAACTCCGCTTGCATAGCTTATTGGATTATTCCTTCTACAACCTTGCAGCTCTAAAGGCATTTTCTAAAACAGAATTTAAGAAAGTGCTATGAGAAAAACCATTTGATTATAATTGGACATTGATATTATAACATTAATATTATTTTCATTTCTTAAAAAAAAAACTAATTTAATACACAGTGAAAAATACTGTAGTTATATATAATTATGCAGTTTATTTTTACAAACAATAAAGTTTATTTTACTGTGGTGGAAGTTATGTTTCAATAATGTGTGTTTCGTTGTTAGAAGAAAAAAGAATTCATTACTTCAGTAATTATTATATGGCTGCAATTTATTTTTAAACTTCTTTCAAACCTTTGAAAACCGAAAATGTTAGTTTAATCATTTATATATATATATATATATATATATATATATATATATATATATATATATATATATATATATATATATATATATGTGTGTGTGTGTGTGTGTGTGTGTAAAAACACACTCTTTAGATTTAGATTATAATGCATTAGTTTACCCGTAGTTTATTTTCAATCTGTTGAATCGTCGCTTGCAGTTGGTTTTGATTGTTTTCTACTGTTGTTTTTAGTTGGTTTAGTTTGGTTTGCAGGTCTGCCAGGCTACCTGCCTGGCGTACGGCAAGTTCAGCTGTATCAAACATGTGATGCATTTATTTGTATTTCAAAAGATTATTGTAGTTCACTGTTATGCGAGAATATCGCAAGTGCTAAGCTAACGTGAAGGGAAAAATCTAAAAAGGTCGGCGCGGTTAATCCATAGAGCGTGCGCTTAACCATGGCAAAATGACTAAATGAGTTTATAAAGGAAACTAAAAAAATATCCAACTAAATCTCTGCAAACTTTAATCAAATCTAAAATGGTAGCATTATTTTTAAAAATAAAACCCCCTCAATTTGCTAAAAGTTTTCGTCGTATTACCATAAATTATAATTCTCAGCTAGGATACATAATCAACTATAACAGTTAAATAGAAAGCCGCATACCTTTATACAATACAAATACAAATATACAATAGATGATGAAACGTTGTAAATTAAAGTATTTTCTCTATAACCTATTTAAATTATGTTATACATTTTCAAGTCCGAAGTAAGAAGAAGGAAACACATTTTTACGATAATCTAAAGTACTAATTACCAAGGTAATTATATATACCTTGTTTATGCCTTGTAAATGAGAATGTGAGGTATAATTTAATGAATGATGTCAAAACGTTGATCTTATCTTATTAGTTTAAAAATTGTTACAATTAGCAAATGGGTAACTACAATGAGTTAGGTCTCATAAACTTACCAGAACACGGAAAGAATTTGACAGCCAACACTAGAACAAAAGCTCCAGCAAACATTTTCAGAGTCCCCATGGATGTAGTCACACAGCGCTGAGACAAATGACGTGATTATCACCTAGCCATATCGATTTATAATTCTATTGGATGTTTATGTTCCGTCTAGTTCGACCTGCGGGCCTCATCTGGTCAATAATTTGTTATACAATATTATCAGTTCTGGTAAATTTATGTAAATATTTTACTATTTAGCACTTGTGTTTTCTTAATAATTTATTATACAATATTATCAGTTCTGGTAAATTTATGTAAATATTTTACTATTTAGCACTTGTGTTTTCTCTGCTTAACATTCTGTATAATAAAATTAAGTTTCGGCTGAAAACCGTAGTTGTAAGCAATGACGATTGACAACGTTTTTTCATTATCTGCTATTTTACAGGTAGATGTATACATTTAGTACTCTTATGGCCTTTATATAAAACTAAAATATGTAATGTAATTACACCTGAAATATTGATTTATTATTAAACCAAACAGCGGAAATAATATCAAGTAACATGTAATATAGAGGGTTCATTATTTTCTACAATTAATAATGTGTCTTTTCTTTAATAAAACGCCTAGAAATGCAGTATTTATATAATAGATATAGTCGGAGAGGCAGAACTACTATGCCGCCAGACCCACAATGAAAGGGTTGAGAAGACCGTTTAGAGGGTCCAAAATCCGACGAAAAATAAAACAAGTTGTTGTTTGATAGATAGGCAAAACTGCAAGCCTCTTCTATAACTTATCGCTCGCCTTTAAATAGTCTAATTGGGGTCCCCAAAAACCGATTTTAAATAGTTTTCTCTGCTCGTAATTATAATCAAAATAAGGAACACTAAAGATTGACTTAGCTATAAAAAGGAGAGTTTACCTCATCAAAATTATTATTTATAAAAGTTCAAAATAACGTAAGAATAAAACAAACACAAAAACCTTTAAATATATCAGACCTCAGTAACTACATAATTTCAACCGGCTAGTCAACTATGAAGATACTTATTTCATAATTTGAGGCGGATATTAATACGATTTTAAGTTTTTAAAACATGATTAAATCAGGTTTGAAATTAGTTATAACATATGTTGAGTGACTTGCTGTTTCACTACGGGTATATATATATAAACACGATAACTTGTATTATATACAATTTGTAGATTTGTATCAACTTTTCAGCTATTTCCGATAACCGTAAGTGGAAATTTTTCTAATTTCAAATATATATATATATATGTATATATATATATATATTTAAATATATATATATATATATATATATATATATATATATATATATATATTTATATATATATATACATATATATATATATATATATAACTAATTTTTTTGCGGGGGAGCCTTTTTTTCTCTGGTTAGACGCGTTTGCCAAAAAATACTTGGTGGCCCGCGTCCCTATTTATTTTTTACCCTGACTATTCTTGTGATTTGATTAAAAGAGATGAGTTCTCAAGCTGACAACACAATAGGTCTAAAATCGATTATTTTACAATTCATTAAAATCACAAATAATTATATGCAAAATTTCATGTTGTACATCTGACACACAAAAAACATTAAATTGTTGTACATTTGAAAAGAAAAATCCTCACAAATCAAGAAAATTATCAGTATCAATTTAATATTTAACTAAATAGCCTATTAATAAATGTACATATGGTCACAGATTTCATTTATATTTTATTATTAAACGCCTAAGTTATATTTCAATTAATGTGCATAATGTAAACGTTATGTATTTACATTTACTTAAAAAAAAGAAATTCTAATTTTGTATTTTAAAAGTAGACTGGGCTATCTAGATAAATCATCTAATCCATTGGTTCTTAAATTATTGAGATACCGAACCCCACCAACTTCACATGCGGATTTGCAAATGCCTTCTTAAAATGGAAAAACAATATGATTTTTACTTTCTCGTATACAAAGTATAGATAAAGTATTGTAACGTTGGGGGGGGGGGGAAATCGAGATTTTTTGCAAATCTCTTGACATTTTCCCTTAGTCGGAATTTTTTTTTTTTTGCAATCTGTGTGTGTGTGTGTGTGTTTCAACACGATAACTTGAGTACAGTTACAGCTAGGTGGATGAAATTATATACAAGTTTTATATACAATTTGTAGATTTGTATACACTTTTCAGCTATTTCCGATAACCTGAAGTGGAACTTTTTCCAATTTCAAAAATTCAAAAGCGTATAACTTGAGTACTATTTCCAAAAGATAAATGTGATTTCATATATAAGTAAAAGATCTGTTTCTCTGCCTTCAGTCTAATTTGAGTAATTTCAGTTGACCAAAAGTAGTAATTTACGCTATTTCCGATTTCTCAAAAATGCATGTGAATTTATAAAGTACTAATAATATTCCGCACTATTATACACATTTTGTTTGGCGCTCACTTGGTGCGCAATTCTTTTTCTACGAGATTTTATTCTATTTTGAAAAGTTTAAGTAATTAAAAATGAATTAAAAAATCATCTCTGTATCTCGAGTTGTCATCTGTAGTGTTAAATAAGAATATTTGAGAAAGTTTAAGGGAGATCACTCCCGGTTTATTTTATAATAGTTCAAAATATAGGTGTCTAAAAATTGTTAGTCTATGTTGCATTCTTTCGAACACTTTTATTTTTTTCTGTCTAGGTAAGAAGTTTAAAGAGATTAAAATATTAATGAAGAAATATTACGAGATGCCCCCACGACAGTAATAACCCGACATCTAGGCTATGAAAAAGAAAAAAAAATGTATTTGTCACAGTACGATCAACTAATATAGTAATGTTATTAACTAAACAAAAAAATAAAAATAAACTATTCAAAGTAATACCAAACTTTAATTCGTGCAATAATTGGTTTCTTTTAACAGACTTAGTCACTAAAACTGTTATATGGAATGAATTTACACTATATAGAAATAAGAAATGTTACATGTAGTTACAACATATATTTCTGTTTAACCAACCTCCACTTAAATAATCGCTTGAATTGTTTTAATTAATATGAGTAGGTTACACATGTCACAGCTAAATCGATACCTATGTAAGCAAAGGTTCTAATATTTAGTGGGGACGGTACCACATTTGTAGCTACCCCTTAAGAAAAAAAAATTAACTAAAAAACAAAATTTATCCTAAAGAAGTTTAAACTATATTGTAACACAAACAAATAAAATATCACGATTTCAATGTAAAAATATTGAAAGCAAAAGCACGTTATCTAAAACAAAACTGAAAAAAAGGTAATAAATACCATCACAATCAACACCACTAATGAGTCCAGTAGTTACTAAACGGTATAACAAAATATATTTACAGTGGCGTATGCAGGGGGAGCAGGGGTAGTGTGTATATTTTGTGTTGTACTTTGTGTTGTTTTGTGTAATAAATTAGCAGAAGCCAACCAATAGCCACATAGATTTAATAAAGCTGGCAAAGATTCGTACACTTCGTTTATGAAACGGTTTCCTGAATTGAGTTTGTCAATCCATTAAATTAAAATCAACCTATGATAACTGACCCGAGAATCAATTGTAAGTCCACAAGACAAACAAAGCAAACACATAACATATCCTGTTCTAAAGAGCAAACAACAACGTGTGGACTTTTTATGTGAGATAGGATGTCAATGAAGATATGATTCAATGTTTAACTTGTAGTGCTTCTGTGCATCCTGCAATGCTCATCAGCTCAAAATGATTCGCACAATTTTTATGTATGTGAACGATATCAATGGATGCATAATACAAGTAGTGCAAAAAAAATTATCGCCACCTTTAATACTTAATGGACTCACTAGTGGTACGTTTATGACGGACATGATGGTAAATAGTACCGTTTCGTTAATTTTAGTCTTAATTTCTGTGGCTTTACTTTCAATAATTACACCTTAAAAGGACGATTTATTTGTTTGGTTTACCATAAAGTTTACGCCAAAATAAAAATAATCTAATTTTCACTTGAATGTATTTTTTGTCTTAGGGATACTACTTTTCACCTCTACCGTATATGTTCAACGTAGCCTATTCCCCATTAGATTTTTGAGAACCAAACTGTTTTGTTTCAATTTGTATTATGATAGCACAATGCTTTAAAATTTTGAAATCCAGTCAAGATCTAGAGATCATTGAAAATATTATTTTTCTAATAAAATTCACACAAGCTTAAGCAATAAATATTACTAGCTTAAAATTGAGAGTTTATCTTCGTGTAAAGAAATATTTGGTATGGTAGTTTATAAAATGTTTGGCTTACAAAATAAACAACAAAATTATACTTTTATTGGACTTTATTTCCAATTTAAAACGTTTGCATAGGCTACTTAATTAGGGGTCTCTTTTATTTAGTTGAATACTTTTTGTTTTATGTAGGTTTTAAAATGTAATTTTTTAAACTTATTTTAGATACAGTAAGTTCACCCCAAAATATTGTAACTAATCAAATTATAACTCAATTCTCAATCCTTCATTGTATGTTTTCTTCAGTAAATGCTTTTAGGATTAATTTTTATTTTATTGGGCCAAATATTGCGATGACTATTCAGTTTAATAATGAACACGCATGCTTCAGTGGTTAACTGATTAAACCTTTAGCTTAGAAGTTAGTTTGCTACAGTGATTAGTACTACATGTTTTGATTTAATTAAAAATTAATTGAAAATTATGTAATAACATGGTCTGAAATTGTATTTACTGAAGCTACCATACAGCAGAGGGTGAAAACTGCGTAGACTTATCTTGCAATCTCAAGCTGTTAAGCAACACAATAATGTGATTATAGTAGTCACCAAAATATTTCAACCTCTCTCCACACAAAAGTCTTACCATACCAGAGACCAACTTCTCTTAACAGATCAGTCTTATCATACAAGAGACCAATTCGAGACTTTAGGGTTAGAATCTAACACAATTACATATTGTCATGAGACCGCATTGTTAAATGTGATATCACACTTTTATAATAAAACAGATTGGTTATATGAGTGTCCTGCGACCCCCATCTATCTATATATTACTAAAACTCACGTTTTTTTTACATATTTGTATATTTTTTGTTTGTGTTATTTTATTTAAAAGTTTGACTGTTTGGTTACAGGAGAGAATCTGCACTATGTGTAAAGCTGTGAAATACGTATTTAGGTAAAGAATAATGTTCTTTTTTACCAAACTGTTAATCACAAGCTAATTTAAAATCGTTAATTAATTTATTAATATACTCATTGATAGATTAACCACATTAATTATAAGTTCAGAACAATGACGTTACTTATAGTGACGTCACAAGATTTCTTTACTTTTTATAATAATAATGGCGGCTTCCATCAAAGGTTTTGTCGCTAATTCAAAAGTTTAACGCATTATAAAGCTTATTTTCTGTCGGCTATAGATTTAACAATACGTCTGTTTGCAATTTTTTATTAGGTTCCAACATTATTATCAATGGTCAACAGTTCTTCTAATTTAAGTATAAAATCAATTTCTCTAGATCTACAGATAAGCTATCGGAGAAATGTAAGTCAATGATCTAAAATCTAGAATCTAGGTCAAAAGTGAATTAATTTGTTCAAAATAAAATCAATTATAAAAACACAATAAAGTATTGATTTTTTTTTTATTAAACTAAGTTAATCCTTAAATATATGATATAAATCTTTGGTGACATTCGGTGGAACACTGGGTAGATGAAGTAGAGTTGGATAGGTGTAGAGTTCACCTGTGACGTCAACATATAAAGGGACAGTGTCGTCAGAACAATGCACAGCCGAATTCGGTGTTTTAAAGGTAAAAAAAATTATATTCTCGCAAAGATATGTAGACACAAAAGAACTAAAACTCGAAAGGCAATCTGTTACACGTTCTGGTATGAATGGTGCATACTACACTATCGCCCAAACTGTCAAAATACTACTAGATCTACTTCATCGTGATGACTTTGTTGATCTTGTCAAAATTTTCCCACGCAGTTTGCCTTTAAGAAAAATTTAAATAGAGGTGCCACACCAGTTGTATTTGTAATACAGACAGTATCGTAATTTTAAAACAAATTAGATATACCATCCAAATTGTATATATAAAGTAATTATTTTTGAAGATTTATGTATATTTTCCAATTCAATAATTCTTAAGCAAATACATTATACAGTTGCCTTAAACGTAACACCCCTCTTTGCCAAGTGATACTACCCATAGAGATTTTTTAAACATTGCAATGCATCGTAATGGTTATTTTTAGAATGACAAACTGATACAGCTGTTAATACGTGTTGTAAACGTAGACGCTACTAGACTAGTACAAATAAGCTTATTTGCTGCATGAAAAGGAATCTTGTGATTTACATCTATGTGCCAAGCAAAAAAAAAATTTTAACAGATATCAATGTTTACAACGTTGAGATTAAACAGTTTCCAAAAAGGCGCCACTTTGCTGAAAATGGCCTGAAGGGGAACGGTCGCTCTCCCTGCCCCCCCCCCCCCCCCTGCGTAAGCTACTGATGGGCACCATCGGTACAAACCACACAGCCGCATTCCCATTTTAAGCATCCAGTTTTAAAAAAGAATCATTTTCTTCATGATAACTTTACAAAATAGCAACTCTTTATCGATATCTTTTGAATAAATATATTTCACAAAGACAAGCAACTGCAAACACGAACTCACGTCTGTTGATTCATCACCTTGACAAGCAAACGATGAAAGCTTGATTTTATGCAAAATTTATTCTTTACCATCTAACGACATTTTTGCTATACGCCACTGAATATAGTATTACTAGACACAGATATATGTTGTATCTTTACTGCACAGGAATTCCCATGAATTTATTTCACCATCTTTAACATGCAAGTTTTGATGCGAAAAATATTTTGCTTGTCAATTTCTAATATGACTTCATAATATAATGCTTGCACTAATGATGCGTTGACTTAGTGAAAACTTCCTGTTCGATTTAGTCTCTGGCGTCTGCAACTAGCTTCATGCCGATAAAGTAAATCCAGATTTTTGTATGCGTGTTCTGAATTACTCATCTCAAAGTGAGGTTTTGAAAGTTTAATTCACTCACGACTGAGAGCAGCTTTGCACAGTGCGCATTGTTTCTTTCATATTCGGTGATGCTAGTAATTCCGATTTTAGATATTTGTGACCCACAGTTTGGGTACCCATGGGTTATATTGTGTTTCAAAACATAATATTAAGTAACATACTGAATAGCAAACGTATATCGTTTATGCAGATCTCTTAATCTGTTCAATTAATTTAGTGTAACTTCCATAAAGCTAATTTTAAATTTGTTTATTTTTAAAATAATGTTTACAATGTTAGTTATTGATTATTTTATTCATGTTTGTACGTCTGTTAATTAAATGTAACAACACAATCAGTTATTAAAATAATTTTTGCATTTATCTATCCTAATTGTTGGACTGCTATCTCTTAACTCGCGCATTAGGATCCATATATAATCCGAACCCATATTTTAGCCAGTTGTTTATTGCTTCTTCTTGGTATCATTATATACATCATATGTGGAAAAAACAAAACATGGACCAAGTATTGGTAAAGAAACACACTGCTGACAAACGCATCTGTGGACAAGCCCTTATTGGTACACGCCCAATTAATCTAAGACATGCATGTATTTTAAATTGAATTTTTTTTTTATTATCTAAACATTTTATATTTTCAAAAACCATTTTTTTTTTATAAAATAGGACTATATACGTAATAAAATCGATACTCCAACAATAAGCCCAACACTATTAGAATGTAGATTTGCTATATGCAATAAGACTGTATAAAACAAAATTTTCAGAAAGCCTGTTTCCTATATAAAATAACACTATAAATAATGGAGAGTTGATTGTCTGTGTAAAATAAGACTATGAATATAAACAAGTTAATTTTCGATGTAATACAAAAGACTATATAGGCCTACATTATTTCCACCAACTTTATGGATTTGATGTTTTGTGTATCTTTCTTTCCCCCTCCCCACAAAAATGCTTACTTGTGATGCCTATATTAGTTATAGGGTAGGGTCTTGTAATTACATTTATCTTCTTTTTCTTTGTTCTTAATTTTAGTGTTAGAAGAGATCGAGCCTTATCTGCCATAGTTTGATCTCGAAACTTTTTCGAATTTATCAACCATGAGCTTTTGCCGACTCGAAAACGCCTCCATTACAATTAAGGAAACATGTCAACTGTTTATGCGCCATTGACTCTGATTTCAGCCTGCTTTTCTTTTTGGATTTGCTTCCATAGCCTTTGTCCAACCAAGAACAAACTACAAGGCAGCAGTTGTTTGATTTTGGAGTTGTCTCTCCTAGAAGAGTGCCTGTCCCCAGCTAACGAGCTTCATCTGCCCGATGGTTCGAACTCGTGACTTTTCGGTTTAGCAACCATGAGCTTTTACAAACTCGACCACGCCAACATTTATCAATTACTGTCACCAATGCTACCTTCAGCCTCAAACTACGATTAAAATAAAATAATGTCTCATATAAGAAATTAACTATAAGACCACACATTATTTTGTTTTGATGTTACTTTATTTTCCCTTTTTCTTGCAATAAAACAAACTGGAAATAACGAATGCGTAACTATAATTCATTTATAACATAGTCTATAATGTCCTCGATTCATGATTCTTTTTTGGTTTTAAATATTTTACGTTAATTTTCTTAAAATCACATTTTTCTTTTACTTTATGTTCCTGACTTGATATTATTGTTGATCATTTTAGTAATTTAGTATTTTTGTATATTTTTACTGATTTGTTTGAGTATAACTTTTTCAATTATTTTTTACACTTTACGAACTTTCATCTCAGTAAAGGTTAGATAGCGATTCGTGCGTGTAATGCCTTCCCAAATAACTCCTCTAGTACGAATACGAATCCCCCATGGACCATTGAGATTAACTTGCGTACATGCATAAAACCACCAGCCCCCTCCGTGCCTGTAAGAACAGCTTTGACCCGGCCATCTATCGTTGTCAACGTCAATGGTTGTAAATAACTTCTTTATGTTGGAACCGAAACTGTCTGTAGCATTCCCAGTGTAGTTCCCGACGCTCATTTCATACTTTTCTGCTTCATCCTGTACCTTAAAATTGTTGTACACAGCGTAGTAACTACTTCCGTTAAACTTCATGTCGAATCTTAGTTGGGTATAGCCCTGCGTTTTAAAATTTATGAACACGTTTGAATTTACGGTAATGATATATTTGCGGATGACTTTTAAATGTCTAGTCAGTACTTTAGAACAAAAAGTTGCATACTGGTTACAAGAATAACAAATAACATAAAGGCGTTTAAATAATGATGAAGATACCTTAAAGAACCTTTACCTAAACTACACGTGCAGAATAGACCTTAATTCTACACGTGTTTGGCTGTAATATTATTATATAGAGACATAGCTTTATATATTCAAAGTACCATCATAAAATTTCTTATTCTAATATTGTACTTACCGTTTGGATTAAATGTGATTAATAATATTATGTTTTGAAATACAATATAGATAATCCGTTTTTGTAATAAAACTGTGTAGGCCGACATCTCACATTTAATAACTCGGTTATATTGATATTATATGACAGCCTGATTGAATGGTTGGTATTTCAACTACTACCCAAAAGGCTTGCGGCCGGACCCCCGTTTCGAGACGGTAAAAAAATTCCTGAACCCTCCAAGCTCTGATAGCTACCTGACTAATGATAGGGAAAGTAAAGTCGGACAAATCATAGTGCTTTCCAAACTATCTGTTCAGACTCCGATGTTGCTCAAACGGATGAACTCTATATCACCCCCTTTTTATGACTGTATAGTTTTCTTAATATACAAAATATCATACCAATACTATTATAATATTTCGAACCCACCATCCTAGTTAGTTTCGAGATCCAATCATTTCCGATCCAAAAGTCACCATCAGTCGATCCAAATCCTTCCTTATATTCGCTCCAGGTTTTGTTGAAGTCGACATTACCCGATATACGTCTCTAAAATAACACAAATTTAGAGAATAGCTTTTCAAAATGACAAACATAAACATAAAACAAAATGAAATATTTACAATCTGACATTTACAGATACCATTTTAATATTTCAAATTTATTGTGCTTCCACATAGCAATAAGACAAGAGTCTAAAAAAACTTCCGGTCGTGTCTTGTTCCCAGGTACTATTCACGTCTTACATAAATAGTTATATTCATTGCTTACACTAGTAACAAGTGTTAATAAATGTTCGATAACCAGCATAGGATTAGTAGTGTAATTTGGATGGTTAATTACCAACGGCTAGTAAAAAAGTGGTATTAGACATTAGATAATCCGCATAGGATTACTCATGGAATTCGCATGGTTAATTAGCAGCGAGATTTAGACAAACCCACCAGTGTTTAGTTTTACACATTAAAAGGAGAAATATTCTGCATACCGCTCTAGATTTTACAATCTAGGGAATAATAACTGTTTTGAAGAAGAATGTGTAAAAAGTTTAGAAAACATCTCGTATTTATTTTAATTAACTCAATCAACTCATTGATGTTCATGCAAAATTAGGACTTAAGGTGTAATTCGTGATCAAGATAAATGTGTAACAAGGCATTTTGTATTTCATAACACACATACAGACAGAAAACACACATAAAAGGATACGAATGAACAGTAAATAAATATATTCTCAAACAGTACATAAACGTATTCGAACTCTTAGCGGAACAAGCTTGATAGTTCATGACAGCAACCTATCTAGGAGAAAAAATAACTCTAAAATACAACAACTGTTGCCCTGTAGTCTGTTCCTAAGGAAAAGTATATGTAATCATAACCAACTGCGTCTAAATAATTCAACAAATTTGTTGTTCAGAAAACTTAAGTACAACACATTTGCTTTATTAGAGGAAGTAATTTGTTAAAACCTGTAGGATGACCCATCCTCCACCGTCAGTTTGTGTATCACACAATCCATGTAGAATATAATTGATTTTGTGAACTCCGCTGGGATTGCTTATGTTAGAATCCTTTATACAGTCTTCCAATTCTAAAGGTATTTTCTAAAACAAAATTTGAGCATGTGCTATAAAATCAATTAAAATATATTTTGATATTAATAATTTAACATTAGTATTAGTTTTAACATTTAAAAAAAAAACTAATTTGATACACAGTGAAACAATGTGTAATTGTACCTAATTCAGATAAGGTTTTTTTTTTCATAAATGATTAATAGAATTAAAAACTATATCAGACATTTTTTAATTGTATAAATGACGTCACGCATTTTTTTACAATTTTTACCTCCCCCTCACTCTTGTCACACATTGTCACAAACTCCAGACCCCTCCCTCTAAAATGACGTCACACCTGAGCCTACACCGCCCTCGAAATTGCAGTTCCCATTACAATTTATAAAAACGCAAAATAACCGTTCAAACTCGTTTTCTAAAATTGCTTTTTTTTTAAATGCAATAGTGTGACGTAACACCATCTGAAGTCCCCCTCCCCATCATCACACACCGTCACACAATTACGGACCCCCCCCCTTCCCCCCTAGGAGTGTGACGTCATTTATGGGCTACACCGTATTTTATTATGGTGGAAGTAATTTTTTAACAATGTTGTTTCATTGTATAAAAATAAACCGAGAGTGATCTCCCATAAACTTTCTCGAATATTATTATATAATACTTCAGGGGATGGCAACTCGGGATATAGACATGAGTTTTAATCAATTTTCAATTACTTAAGCTTTTTAAAAATTGAGTAGAATCTCGTAGAAAAAAAAAAAGAATTGCGCACCAAGTGAATGGAAACATTACGTGTATAATAGTGCGGATTATAATTTATACTTTATAAATTCATATTCCTTTTTATGAGAAATCGGAAATTGTATATATTACTACTTCCGATCAACGAAAATTACTCAAAATTCGAAAGAAGTCAGAAATATAGATCTTATAGTTTTAATTGCGTCTATCTATCTAAAACCGTACTCAAGTTATTGTCTTTTGAAAAACTAAAATAGGAATAAGTCTCATTTTCGGTTATCGGAAATTACTGAACTAGAAATTTGACATAATACTTATATATGAAACTTCAGTTACCTAGTTGTAACGGTTCTCAAGTTATCGCGTTTATAGACATACATACACTGTCAACACACTCTTTATATATAGATTCTAATGAATTATGCTACCTGTAGTTTATTTTCAATCTGTTGTAACGTCGCTTGCAGTGCATTCAGTTGGTTTTGATTGTTTTCTACCGTTGTTTTTAGTTCATTGAGTTTGGTTTGAAGCTGGGCCAGGCTACTTGTCTGGCGTACGGCAAGTTCAGCTGTATCAAACATATGATGCATTTTTTGTAATTCAATAGATTATTGTATTTCACTATTCCGTGAGATTATTGCAAGTGCTAGGCTTACGAGAAGGGAGTAATCTATAAAGGTCGGCGTCTTTGATGGACTGAATGCACGCTTAATCATCGGAAAATGACTAATTAAAATTACACGTAAAACTAAAAAAAAAAAAAATCCAACAAAATCTCAGCATTATTTAATCCAATCTGAAAAGGTAGCATGATTTATAGAAATAAACCACCTAAATGAACTATGAGTTTTCGTCATATTACCAGAAATTATACTATTAAGCTAGGATACATAATAAACTTAGTTGAATGGAAAGTCGCATAAGTTTATTTTAGAATAATACAATACACATAAATGAAGGATGGAAAATTGTGAACAAATGCAATGTTTTCAAAACTTATTCAAAAGTATGATATTTATTTTCAAGTCTAAATTAAAAAGAACGTCACACCATTTACGATAAATATCTTTACTAAGAACAAAGGGCATTATATATTCCTTGATTATGCCATAATGAACTCATTAGGAAGTGAGGTCAAAGTTAAAAACAGATGTCAAAGCTTTAGTCTACAACTATTTGTTTTTAAATTGTTAAAATTCAATGCACATCTATAACTACAAAGAGTTGGGTCTCACAAACTTACCAGAACACAGAAAGAAGTTGACAGCCAACACTAGAACAAAAGCTCCAGCAAACATTTTCAGAGTCCCCATGGATGTAGTCACACAGCGCTGAGATAAATGACGTGGTTTTAACTTGGCCATACCAATTTACAATTCTATTGGATTTGTATGTTCTGTCTAAATCCACCTGCGGGCCGCATATGGCACATGACTTTCAATGTTCTTAAGCGTATAATTTATCGTAAAGTATTTTTTGTTCTTGTAGTTTTATAAAAATATTTTTTTTTATTTAGCACCTTTGTTATCTTGGCTTAATATTATGTATAATTAAATTAAGTTTTGGCTAAAAACCGAGTTTGTAAACAATGACGTTTGACACTGTTTTTCTTTATTATCTATTTTTTTTTGGTAGATGTAGACATTTAGTACTGCTATGGCTTTAAATAAAACTAAAATATGTAATTACATCTGAAATATTGATTTATTATTAAACCTAGCAGCGGAAATAATATCAAATAACATGTCATAAATATATATATATATATATATATATATATATATATATATATATATATATATATGATATATATATATATATATATATATATATATATATATATATATATATATATATATGTATATATATATATATATATATATATATATATATATATATATATATATATATATATATATATATATATATATATATAATATATATATTTATATCTATATATTTATATATATATATATATATATATATATATATATATATATATTATATATATATATATATATATATATATATATATATATATATATATATATATATATATATATATATATATATATATGTGGTTCCGAAAATTATTTTTTGAAGGGATCCTTATTTCTCGAGTAGATACGTGTTTGCCAAACAATACTTGGTGGCCCGCGTACTGTTTTTATTTTTACCCTAAACCCTCTTGTGGTTTAATTAAAAGACTCGAGTTCTCAAACTGTCGATACAATAAGACTAAAATCGATTTTTTTACAATTAAAATCACAAATATGTATAAGCACTACTTCAGGATGTGCTCCCATTTATAGTACAATGTTTCTTGAAGAAAAAACAAATCTTCACAAATCAATAAAATTGTAGGCAATAATTTAATGTTAAACTAGGTAGTCTAAAAGGAAATTTTAATATTCATATAGGCCTACACATTTCATGTAAATTTTATTATTAACACCTTGAGCCGAACAAGCCCTAAGACCGGCTTCAAAAACTAGGCATAGGCCTATATGTCAGAAAAGCCCGTTTTCCGGCCCGATGATTTAGCGTCATAGTCCTAGGGGCTGGTATGGCGTCCTATTATATACTAGCAATTTTTACCCGTTTCACGTGAATAATAGACCTATATATGTTTACAGTTATACTTATTTGGAAAAATAATGTATACAATAGTTATTGGCCAAAACGCTAAGTGCTTTACTACACGCTGAACAATATTAGTGAGAAAACAAAGAAAAGCTAAAAAGTTGAACAATCCAACACATTTAAAATAACATAGGCTACCAATACCTATTTGGAATATTCAAATTTACTTTGACCGATAGAATTGTAGATATTTCATAGCGTACGTCTTGATAAGTAGATCTATAGATCTAGATATAAATCAAAGTTGAATGAAATAGTTCCTGTCTTTATATTCTAAAATCGGAAGATTCGTATATTAAAAAAAAACCAAATTGAAAAAGAATATATTTAAAATTGACATAGTGTGTCTCGATCCCATACCCCTCGCTTGGTATCAATTACACTATTATCTCAGCTATTTGAGCACAATAATTTTTATACAGAATAAAAGAGTTAGTTAAAAATCTTAACTTACGCGAGTAGGCCCTATTGTTTCAAATTAAATTTTATCCCAAATTAGCCAATTTTATAGCTAAACAAAGATTTCAATACAAGAATTAAACCCTGGAGTGGTTTAATATAGGAAGTTATTATTGGAATAGATCCTAAATCTAGATAGTCTAGATTTATCTAGAGTCTTAAGTCTAGTTTTTTTCCGCAGATCTAGATCTAGATCTAGAATCTCTATATTTTGATCTAGAATCCGAATACATAAAGTAAATTTCATAAGTTTAGGCCGAGAAAATTGTATTGTATACATGTCATATCGTACGTAGCTCTAAATCAAATTTGAATGAAAATAGTTCCTTTCCTAAAATCTAAAATCGGAAAATGACGCCATTAGTTTTGTGTTCCTTCCTTAGTGTAAACATTGTGACGTCATAGTTTATTCGCGTTCTTTTCACAACAATAAACAATTTTTCCGGTTGCATAAATAAATTTGTTTTCCTACATTCGAATATGCCTTTAATTGTTATTTTTCTTTTTTAAATAAAATTTTTGTTTATACATTTACAACATCTACCATATTTTTTTCAACGAAAGTCCGTATAAAGTTCTCAATATATCGCTGAAGATACTGATATATCAAGGCTTGTGAAAATATTATGCGGACAGAGAGAGAGAGAGAGAGAGAGAGAGAAAGAGAGATAGAGAGAAAGAGAGAGAGAGAGAGAGAGAGAGAGAGAGATAATTGCATCTTATTTTAAATAATAAATTATAAGCGAAGATCGCGGTTCTATATTTAAAAAAAAAAAGATTAACTGTCCCTAAATAATTGTATCAATCGCTGAGAAGTTTATAATTAATAATTACGTTTAATGCTTTATCAATTAAACGAATTGAATTCTTTCCGTTTTGATAAACTCTCTCTCTCTCTCTTTATAACTATTAACGTTTTATCTTTGAGTTTTTCGAGAGAAATATCCAGGAGAGCGGTAGTTATCATTGACTCTGTCATTGATAATTTCATTGAGTCTTACATAGAAAATAGTGTTTGATTGGCTGTAATTGCGCACATGGACTTTTATATATTAGGATACATAGTGGCGGACTGAATTCAACGGTGCACACGTCTTTTTAGTGCGGGGATATGATTCTAAAATATATTTTTTAAGAATTTGAAAGTGAAAGTGTTTACCATTCGTAAAATACATTGTCAACAAAAAATTATCGGTTATTTTATATTTATAACTTTTCCGAATCTTGCTGATTTGTTGTTTGATACTGAGCCTTGATACCAAATTTGGCTTAATTATCCTAAACGGTTCAAAATTTATAGGCAAAGTTAGAAGCAGAAAAGTGAAAATTGGATTGGGACTGGGAGCTCAGGAAGCCCAGGGTTCAAAGCCCAAATTATTATTTATTTATATTAATGTGCACTATTTAAAGGTTAGGTATCTATATATATAATTCTCTTCTGGGATCAGTTAGAAAACAAGCTGCAAGCGCCTCCTTGCAGTCCCCTCTCTTTCTCTCTATCACTATCACTACCACCCCCCCACCCCCCCCCCCCCCCCCCCACATGATCTGGTGAGCGGTGTTCACTCTGTTTACATTTTACAATCATAGAGACGGGTTTGGTGACGGCTATTAGGGGCAGATAATTTAGTTTGAAACGATTTTAAACTTATAGGAGGTAACTAAGAGGAGGCAGCTTTCACGTGTGGGGGGGGGGGGTTAGTGTTTTTAAGCAAATATTTTCAATGGCAGCATTGGTACTGTCGAATTCACAAATTATAAATTATTTAAAAGTAGAAAAAAAAAACAACTAAATAGCGGCGTATGATACGCAGCGGGTCGGCTCGTAGCAATTAATTTTTAGAAAAAAAAATCATAAAATAGTTTTTTTAAAAGTAGATCGCGACTATGTAACTAAATCATATAATCCAGTGGTTTTTAAATTATTGAGAAACCAACCCCGAACAATTTCATATGCGGATTTGCAACTCCCTTCTTTATATGGATAAATAACATGATATTTTACAATAGTTCAAAATATAGATGTTTAAAATAGCTCAAATCTTAACTCGTGCAATCATTGGTTTCTTTTAACCGACTTAGTCAATAAAACTGTTGTTAGAATGAATTTACACTATATAGACATGTATTTCGGTTTAACCAATATCCACTTAAATAACCGTTTAAATTGTTTTGGGAAATACGAGTAGACTACACGTGTCACAACAAAATCGATGAAATGTAAGCAAAGGTTCTAACATTTAGGCGGGGGGGGGGGGGGGTGTCAACAAATGTGCAAGCTAATCCCTAAGAAAAATAATTAATCGAAAAACAAACTTGATCTGAGACAATTTTAACAGTATTATAACCAAACAAAACATCACGATTTCATGGTGAAAATACTGAAAGCAAAAGCACGGTAATTAAAACAATAAAGCGGGAATGATCTCCCCTTAACTTTCCTTATACTTACACAATACTACGGGGGTGGCAACTCGGGATATAGACATGATTTTTAATAAATTTGAAAAACCAAAAGTTGAATAAATACAAATTTGATACAATATTTATATATGAAATTTCATCAACCTAGCTGTACCGGTAATCAAGTTATCGTGTTCACAAAACACACACACACACACACACACATGCAGACACACACACACGCATCAGGCAAAATTGCAAAACTAAGTTTTTCTGAGTCGGGGAGGCGTAACACGGACGAGATTTGTAAAATTTTGATTTCGAATATTTGCATGATTACAAAACTTCCTCTAAACTTCGTATACGATAAAGTAAAAATGAAAAAAAAAACAGAAATAATTATCATTAAAAAAGTTTAAAAAACCCACGTTTTCTGATTGAACTAAAAAGTAGAAAATAAATGCTATACATCACAATAATGCAAGCGATCACTCTACTATAAGCGATGAAAAACGTGGGGCGCCGAAGTAAACGTTTTTTATCGGTCATTGTTAATATAAGATGTAAACGTTATATTACTATTGATTAGATAATACTATTGACTTTTATTAGGGAGCTTGTAGAGAGTCAAGAGTATTAGAAACTGTAAGAAAATCACGGCGCCCCACGTTTTTCATCGCGGACATTTACGAAAATTTAAAGTGGGATAGTTTTATGTTTTAATTGGTATGATTTGATAATACAGTGTTAATCATACGGTACAAGAATAAAGCTAGCAGCGTCCGTCGAAAATTTAAAACGGTTGAGTATAGAATACAAACAGAACCTTTTACAGACTTT